TTCGCGACTGGCTTTGGGCGCTGCTTCGTCATGCAGGCCATCACTCCCTCCAGGCCTTGGGGTATTGGGACCGATTTCGTCAAGATCGGTTTCTAGGATTTCTACTGAAGGGAATGTATCTGGCGTGCGGTTATGTTGTTGTCAACCGGGGCCTTCCTCCTCCAGTAAAGGTTACGGGACCTTTCTCAGACCCAAGACTTGATGTGACTCGGCTCGACTCAACTCACTTCAGGCGCCAACTCATGCCGAGTCGGTTTTGCGCGGGTCGACTGGATTAGTTCAGCCAGGATCGTCGGGCGCGCCTGGCTACAAAGTGGCGCTGTCACGGGAAGACCCGCGTGAAGACGGGATTTGCGCCGGCATCCGGCCTCGAAAATCGGAATCTATTTCCGTCTCGCACCTTTGGAAACGGCATGCGCTCAAAGGGCGATGCCAACTTAGATACAATGAAGCTGTACAGCCGCGATACGGACTAATGCAGACATCTACTGCACTACTATGTCATGTTGGCAAGCCCTGATGTGAGGTGGTTAGTGGAGTGTGAGCAGGGAAGCAGACGCTGTAGACCACCTGCGTTGCTGTGATTTGGCGCCGAATCAAGATGTGGGGTTCTGGTTCGGAAATTTCAGTGTTCAGCACCAGAAGCTTGGGCCAACTGAGAACGTTGGGGGATCTGGAAAAGGCCTAGCGAGGCTTCCAGCGGGTCGGGCCGTCCCGCGCAGGGGTCACAGTGCTGGATGGATCAATGCGGGTCACCTGTGACAGCGTGGGATGCTGATAGGGACAGATGGACCCGGCACCCCTTTGGTACCATCATCTCGTGATGGTACGGACCCTCAAGTGCCAATACAGCCAATGCCTGGTCGATGCACTAGACAATTCATATTTGCGCTGCGTAGTCTACAGACCCTGCCTGAAAATATTCACGCCGGAGCAAGGGCCAATAAGAAAAATTTCTGAGATGGAAAGAAGAGCCCTCAACATTTACATCGGCGGGGCGTGTGAATAAAACACATGACGGCGTCGGGAGATGGTGGTGTCAGGCTGTAGCCGAATGGAGCGTTTCTGTCCCACCCCAATATGGTCAATTCCTCCCCCGGTCGCAACTTTGCTGGTCTTCCTGTGTTATCGCAGATGCTCGTGCAAGGCGTTGCAATGGCAAGAAAGGGCATTCTTCTCGGAAAGAATTTCGAAGTCTGGCGACCGTCATAATGCATCTGATAGTATAAAGGGTTAATTATGAATATAATAATTATATACCTATACCTTATTAAGATTAATTATCAGGCGCTTTAAAGGAAAGATTATAACCACTAGGTAATATTAAAGTTTAAGGTAGGTGGTAAGTGAAGTAGCAACCCTAGGCAATATATACTGTGAATAGTAGGTTCTCATAATTCTTATGATGATCGTGGCAGCTTTTTAACAGAGCTACCATTCCGGCCCCATATTAATAGGTATAGTACTTATACTCCCACTGCTCGTAACGTCCGCAAAGGTCGCAATCTGCGCTCCTAAGTTTAATATTACTTTGCCTGCTGCTTATCCCTTAATAGAATATTTTTCATGTCACGTGGTTTTAGCTAGATGCAAGGAGCACTTGGTTAGGAATAGTAGTTAATTAAGTCCCTGGGACTGGTATGAAATCATGCGTCACTTCGTCGGCGATGTGTACCTCGTCCCACAGTACCTCCGATTCGCGTGTACTGCAATAGGCACTTACTGAGAAGAACTCTTAGAGACCGGCTCACAAATAAAAAGCTCTAGGGACAGAGGCGAAATGGAGGGAAGCAAAGGGATCTCAGGGTTAACTGGGGACTGTGACGTGGCGTGCGCTCGTACCATCAGGTGATGATGGTACGCCCCTATACCCACCAGTCAGGTTGCACCTGAAGAGTCCCTGTACTATCAAGTCAGCTGGGCTCCTTCTGTGCCAGGTATGGTGATCATACCTTCTGTGCAAGTCGTTCAAATTGCCTGTGCAGCCCAGCTATCCTGCCTGTGTGGGGCACCCGGGCCGGGGCCGAGTGCCCGCCGGCGTACTGGCCGGGCAATCTGGCAGTTATGGCTTGATTGAAGATATTTCTGGGTGGACTTGAAGGGTATCTAGCTAATAGGATGCCTTCGTTTGAGGACTGGAGGCCCTAAATAGGCAGGATAGCTGGGCTGCACAGGCAATTCAACCTGACTCCCTCTGTGCCGCTTGACCTGTAATGTCCCGTGCTAGTGCTGTCACGGAAGGCAGTCGGAGGGAAAATAAAGCTTGTGCAGGTACAACCCTCATTGCCGCGAACCTCCGTTCTGTTCTGGTTCCATCCACTTCATCTCTTGCAACCTGTCTGCCGCCCTCCATCGCCGCATCCAATCCAAGCCGACACCTTCACATCGCAGGCCATCTTGTTGAGGCTCGTAGAGCTGCACGGCGGTTCGAGCCCGAGAAGGAACGCGTGGAGCGTGCTCTCGAGGAGGACTGCGAGATGCTCAAGACGTCGGAGGCGAACGGGAAGTCCGAGGCGAGCAACTTCAAGTACAGCAGTCTGCGCAATATACGCGTTCCACTTTGGTTACGAGACCTTGCTTTGCTTCCACCCTTTGGTCGCTGCCCCGACATTCTTGAAAGCGTCGGGAGTAGTCTCAACGCCCCAAGCTTTGGGAAGTCTGGCTTTCTATCTCTTCGCATGGGTCTTCGGCCACATGTTGCTCGCCCTGGCTCACAGGAATATGTCTGGGTAGCTGCCAGTGTCCCCCGCTTGGACGTTCGCCTCGAAAGGTTCATCGACAACAGCGTCCCAAGGATAATATTGCTCGACAACCTGCTCAAACAACCAAATACGCACCATATTCACCTCATAATTGCGTCACCCGATTGCACGCTTTCGTCGTCGATATAACCTTGAGCCAAATGCGACAATCTGCCAAGGCCAACAATGATTTCACGTAGTTCAAAGGCGAAATCCACGCCGCTTTTGTCTCCAGCTTCCAGTACTCGAATGTCTCGACCATCTTGGTCTACGGATTGATCGCTTCTTTAGAACTTGGCAAAGTCGACCCGTTTGCTGAATCTGGACTTGAATTGGCGCCAATGTCAATCGCAACCGCAAATCCGACGCTCCCAGTGACGGCATTCCCTATGTCGTCATATTTAATGCCTGTCCATCTGTCCCCACGAGCCCGCATTAGAGACACCTATACTAGTTTCTGGTTCCTGAGGCAAGCAAATAAGTGACTTATTACAAGCGATCGTTTTCTTACTGCTGAAGCTAAGTAGCATCCCATCGACAGACCAAAATTCGCCTGCAATGGCTTCGCGCCGCGTGTCCCGAGAAGCGCCAGGTTTACTTGATGATTTCGAATCGATCTGGTCGAGAGGTAGACGAATAAAGATCGATGCCGAAAGCAAAGATTACATGAACCAAACCAGCGCGGGAGACTTGTCAAGTGGCGTGGGCATGTGCTGTAGATTTAGTTGTGTCCCCTAGCTGAAAGATACCCTTGGCTGAAGACATTCCACCGTTGGAGAAATCGGCACCCAGATGGAACAAAGTCGTCTACATGGAATATTTCGACGTAGACAGCATTGTCTCTCTTCCTCATTAAAGTTTTTGTCTTCTCCCTTTAGCCCTCCCTGCCCAAGTCGGGACTACTGGCCTATCTGACTGAGGGTATAATGTAGTTGACGAGAAATGGAACTACGGCGTCACGACTTTGCCAAACATCTTCCACCTGGGCAGTATAGATGAATTTTCCTGTTCCCAGAGTTGAATGTATTTGTTTACTGCATCTCCCAACACCGTACTGCTGATGGGGCTCATCTTAAAGAGTAGCCAAGGTGTCGAGCCTGAAACTGGGTAATCAACAGCCTCTGCCAGAAATTGTCCAGATGTGCCCGTCTTTGATTCATAAGTCGCGTTCAACATGAGCCATTTCTTATCGGGGCGGTGGACGTGATAATTAAAAAGGCAGGAGGGCGGATTGCAGCTATTGCGGTGCATGTAGCGCTGCAGCTAGGAGAGACACTATCCTTCGTACCATCACCAGGTGATGGTACAGACCCCCAAGCGGCAATCACAGCTGCGAGCCCCAGAAGCTCAAAAGCGTATGCTGCGGGGACCTTAATACAACACAAGCTTTCAACAATCAATGTTTCTCGAACCTGCTCCCCGTACACGGTATTCCCTCTAGCATCCTCGCACAGTCGCACCACGCGGGTTCTCGCTCGCGCTGACTTTTCTTCCCAATCGCCATTCAGCCGATTGAATATAGAATGAACGCTTTATAGTTGAACCGGTCGCGCGGAAATAAAATGGAGCAATCAGGCGCTGCTAAAGCCTCACTGTGCCTGCGAGGAAGTGCCCCTCAGCCGGGTGCACGCTCTTAAAGTCGCCAGAAGACAAGTACCATAAAATAGCTCAATTAGTGATGTTTTTCTTATAGTATAACGCAATGGAAATGCGTGATGCAGTGTGTCTTTTGTATCTGCGGATGGCAGGCTTTTAGGTTGCTCTTAGTTATTAGCGCGATGCGTCGCAATCAGCATGAGTCTTACGTGCATTGCAGCCGGCACGTGTGGCAGCTTCTCGCAAAACCTGCCATCCTCAGCCCCACACCCCACGGCAGCACTTCGAGAAAACCTGCCACATTAAGTAGGCAGTGACGTTCCACAGGACCGTTATCTACATCACCTGATTTCGTGTCGCTCCTTCTGTGATTGACGCGGCACACTGCACTACCTTGATACGCGTCGTACCTTCCACGTCTCTTTCCACACACCTTAGGAGTAGCACCTTCCGCGTCTTTTTTCTAATAATGCATGACGTCCTTCCCAGAAACTCTCGCGTCAGGCGCTGTCCCCGCACGAACACTTCTCGATTTGTTTCCCCACTGCTACTTGTCCGCTGTAATTCAATCCAAGCACAACACACACCTTCGTCGACCCGCTGACCGCCCTTCGCTTTTGGAAGACCAAGTTTGTCTTCTCCAGAGACCACCCTCCTCTCGTTATGCCTGTCGAAGAAACTCTAGATAAGCTCGATCCCCCGGCAGCTTCAGCTGAGCAGACTCCATGCTTTCTCTGGGACGCTCTTGAAGCCGATTTCAAGCAAGCCACCAAACTCAAGGAAATCGACTTCTCCCGTTGGGTCTTGTCCGGTGTCGACCGCAATATTCTGAAAAACGCCGCCGATAGCAAACTTGCCGACAAGATTCAATCCCTGAGCCCCGGGTTTCCAAGCCGATACGCCAACGTACTCACAGCGCTTGACGTCTCTCTCGGAATCTTAGTGCAGCTTTTTGGTTTCAAAGTTGTCAATTCCCGCGCATGCAACAGCTCGTTCATCAACTTATGCAAAGCGCGCCCCGACTTGCGCATCGAAGAGCTGTACGACGCCTGGACTACGCAGCCCACAGTCGTCAACAGTCGCCTGATTTCGGAGATAACACGCTTCCAGCGAGCAGCAAACTCCGGTACGTCGCCATCCCCTCCCCTCGGTCGTTCTTTCCGTATTCTGAGGTGCTGACAAACGCCATAACACAGTTGATGCCAATATCGCCTCCCACGTACAAAGGCCGAGAAGAAAGACAGAGGCCAAGGAAATAACTCCCGCCGTCGCTGCATCTATTGAAACTGCGGATCGAAAGACCTTCAGCCGTGCCGCCAGCCGTGCCGCCAGCCCACACACTCCCACGCGGGACGGACCTCCTCCTTCGCCCGACCTGCAACGATCCTTTTCAGACTCTCCCGAAGCGTCGCGTCCATTTTGTCGCGTCCGACAAAGAGAAACATCTTCGCCTGAAGTCGCGCCCTCGCCGCCTTGCAAAAGACCGAAGCCACTGCAGAGCGATCCGCTCAGCCCTATTGATACGCTCAGACTAAGCGCCCAACGGAGCGCACTGGACTTCACCTTCTCGCCATTCGAGCCCGAATCAACAAACGATCGAGATACGCCGCCGGAAGTTTCGTCACTGCGTTCTTTTATGGCCCAGTCCCAAGGTCAAGAGCACGATTCCGACACTTCAGACGACGAATTCGTAGACAGCGCGGTTTACTTCGATATGGACGACGAGACAGAGCAGCCCGTTGTCGAGACGGGGCAGACGACCCACGGTGCTGCTAGCTGCCGTGAAAGCGCGAGCAGCGAGAAGGGGTCCAACTTGGTCAAAATGGTTCTGGACGACATTGAGCACACCGACCGCATCAAAAAGATACGCCTCAGAATTGCCCAGGATGAAACGTACGCCGCCGAAGCATCGCAGAAGAAGAATGATTCGGAAGAATGCATTGCGGAGCTGCGACGCAAGACTCTGGCTCGCCTTCAGGCCATTGAGGACCAGAACGAGGGATCTCTTGACGAAGAAGAGGACTGGTACTCCATTTCCAAAGCAAAGGCCGATGCGGTGGGGCACCAGGAGCGAATCGAAAAGGAGATGGCCTCCTCCGTCCGGAGGAAGCGTGTTGCCGACCGGGCCCTGGTAGCAGAGATGAAGAAGCGACCGCGAGTAGCAGAGGCCGCACAAAAGCTTTGTGACGCTCTTCGAGAGTTGGAGAATGCGGTAGAGGAGCCGTTGCCCCCTTGCTAATGATCTGTTCACTACCAAGCACGCAGTGGGCAGCAGGCCCGGTCTACGGTATTTCTGGCTTGTTGGACGGTCGGGATTAAAGACAAAAAGACCGGTATGTGTTACTGAGATATCAAGGGTACCAAGGGTAGCAGGACCATGGAATTCAGAGTCAGCATGATGGAAGAATCGATCTTACACGAGAAGCTCGTGCCCGCCTAAATAGTGCAGACAGCCTGAAAAGAAAAGGTCGATCGTGAACAAACCATGATTATGGGACTTCGTAGCAAGGACCGCAATGCATGAGACTGGGGGTAAAGGTGGAAACTTCTCTAAGCTGCGCGGAGTCGTGATGTCTACATCTTCGGTACGTTGCAGGGTCCTAAGACCGGCCAGCATGATTGGACAGGCAAGTACCAAGCCGCAAATGCTTGCAAAATTTGTCTCAATGTAGTGCCAGGAAGGTACATGGCCGTCTGCTCAGAATCGGAGCTGTATGGCACGGATTCGCAAGACCCTGAGACCTCAAACGCACAGCGCCGGTCAGCGGCCGACAACTGCTAGCAGAGGTGTTTGACAGAGACACGTGGAAGCCGATTTCCCAACGACCAGGAGAGAGCCGAGCGGCACATGAAATAGAGACCGGCTGGCAAGAAAAGTCATGCTTCCAGTCCGTATGGTTCAACGGGTGAAAATTTATAGACATCAGACGGGCTGGAAGAGTTCATAGCAGATATTGCGCTCTAGACGTAAGAACGCGGGGTGCGGACTTGGTGCTTGAGGCAGCTTCATCAAACCCTCTTGAATTTGCCTTGATGCATGCTGCGCTACATCATCTGCTACTGGTAGGGCTGGGGCACGAAGACTTTCAGCATCATTGCTCGTGTGCAAGGCATGATGAGGCTTTGATGCCTTGTTCCTGTGACGAAGCACAGGACATGGATTGTTTTGGCTACCGCCGATGAACGCTCATAGGAAGGTAACAGTGGCTTCCATTTCCCCCTACCGATTCGCCTGGAAAGTGGCCTGAGTCGAGTGTCTCGTGTGGGACTTCCGCGTAGTATTCATGACTGGTAATCAAAACCTCAAGGCTCTGTCCCATGCAAAGGACTCTTTCTATACGCCCTACCCACAATATGAGCAGTGATTCTTACTGATAGGTGCCACGTATTCTCATGTGTTCATGTCGTTTCCCAGACAATATCGTATTCGACATGTTGCCGATGCTTCTCTTCTACGAATGGAGCGATATTATATGACATTCTACCCTATCCATACTGAGGCCATTCATGTACCTTCTACGCCAACTCTCACAATGTGATCGCCTCAAACTGGCGATCGATTTACCTCCCACCTATACAGCCAGCATCGAGCGATAGCATTTGACGTACATGAGCTTGCACGTAGAGACTCGGATTCGAACATGGAGTGCAGGCAGACTTACGCTGAAGCACTGCAATTAGACACATTCGATGCTGATGGCATCACTCCTCATGTTCATGGCTTCACAGATGGTGATTTTCTCGGCAAGCCCGGCCATTCACACCAAGTATTTTAAGGTGGTCAAGTCCCTCCTGTCATTGAAGCAACGGATAACCGCCGATTCCCGTAAGCTGTCTGGCTACGCCGGGACTAAAATAGTGCACGTAGCATGCTAGCCGGCGACATGTGCCAGGCGGGAAGTGTCCTGACTATTCTGTGTACACTAGATTTGATCGGGAATCGAGTGGAAGCTCAAGAAGAGGGCATCTTGGGATGATAGGGATATACCGTTCATCTTGGAGTTAATTTGGAGCACATGCGGACGCGGCTCAGCTGCAACATGGCGACTAGCGACGTCGTAGTTAATTCCTCCGATGGCGAAGTGGCTAGAGGTGTATTCACAGCCCGAAAGACAACCCCTGAGCTCATTATATAATTAAGTGTTCAGAGAGCTACACGCTTCAAAAGTTTCCTCATCACCAAGACGAAACTGAGCCTGATTGGAGTTAACGGACGAACATCGCTGTGGGCATTGTTCGAGGTCGGAAGCAAGGTCGTAGCCACCATCAGCAAGATTCCATTAAGCTATCATCATCGGCACTCGCGACACTGGTTCCACATGATTTGACCGGAAGTATTGCCGCAAGTAATGGCAGATTTCAGGGTCTCCCCAGCTTCATAGGTCTGTTCGTCCCAGTAACCGTAGCAGGTTGTGATTCGGCCAGCATCTACACATAGAATAATCCTCACTGTGAAGCCATAAGCAGGATCGCTCACAGGAAAGGTTCAGTAAACCTGCATTATCGACGATGGACAGTTTTTGTACCGCCATGACCGACCGATTAAGGGCACGAAATACGCCCTTGAACGCACAGTCGCAGGCCATCGTAAACTGGACTCATGATGAATGAATGTGCTGGCAAGCTTTCACCTCTCGATGGATGAATTGGACTTGAGCAATACGAGCAACCGGGATATGGTCTCAGGAGGCTGCGGAGCCGGCGTACCAAGAGAACAAAGATCATTACACGGGATTATCAAGTAGAGGGAGAGCTGAGGTACTCAGAAGCAGGCATGATTTCATTGGATCAGGTCAGCGCAAGCCTCAGAGACAACCGAGATCATGCCTTAAGCAATACTTCCAACGCTGAGTAGCTTGTACAAGATGTTTACGATGTAAATGAAGTATCAGGAGCCCTCTCATATTTCCTTGGTTGTGCCTGAATCTATCCACGGATTCTTTTACAAAGCGTCTTGGATTGAAGCGTGACATGTTATTTGTGAGATTTAGAGAATGGCGGCAAGTTGCGACGGTATTATAGCTTATGGAAAAGCGATAAGTGTTATTTTGAGCCATACTTACAGAATAAATGCCAATGAATCTTTCTGCTGCATGCCTTCTGGGCTGAAAAACAGGATCCCTAACGTGCTTCAGCGAGGATAGGGATATAGACTTACCATATTTCCGCCACTGCCGAAACAGCTATTGTCCCTTGGTTGTCATTGCTCAACTACATCATTGAAAAAGACGAACTCGGGTTGGTTTTAGTATTGCTACAGCTCCGTAGGGCCGTGAGATTTTCTCTTTTCCAACCTCGGCGCCAATACCATTGCATATTGTCATTATTATGCTTCATTCACAGCGCCTCTTTGACTCGGGACAATTCAAAGGCCCTGAATCGGTTTGCTCACACCTAGATGGTCTTAAACGTGTTTCCCCTGATGGAGATTACGGTTCCAAAGCCACAAGCGGTGGCAGCAACAAATCTTCCCCGATGATTCAATCAAATGGCGGTATGATTGTGGAAGAACCTCAACTACTGTGGACAATGGGGCAATCACATGGCGACTGTAGCGGACTTGGCTGGGTCAGCAACGGGCCTTCATTCCTGGCGCGGTAACCCAGCAGTGCGAGCCACGCAGAAAGCATCCATCGCACCACCGGCTGAACGATAACGGGGATGCATATGACACAAAAGCACGACGAGAAACATCGTCAGTGATGGAGAATAAACCAGTCGGATGCTAGATTGGCCTGGACTGGACCGTCAGGTCCTGGGCCCCAGGGACGTTTCCGCGCTGGGCCCAAGTGCGCCATTTGTAGTGGAGCGTCAGCCGGAGATCTGCGACCATTTCTCTGGGATCTTCCTAGATGATGTCCTACGGCGCGGCGAAAGACTAGTCGGCGGTACCAGCTTCGTGTCGTTCTATTTTGAGAAAGTGGGATCGAGCTGTTGAGTCGCTCGGCCACGCTCGGGCTGTGTTCCACAAAGTCCGTTTAACACTGACCCAGTCGCTCGCGAAGAACCTTTTTCTGTGCAATGAGCGGTCAGGCAGCCGCATGGAGACGGGTGTATTTCGTTGCTGTGGCTGGAGTGTTTACACTTTGGGCACTAGGAATGTAGGTGGCTGCGATGAGCTGCTTGTTACATCCTGCGCAGGCGCGCGGAAGACACTAGCATGTCATATCCGAGCCATGTTGAACGTGGTGAGTCGGCCATTGGTGTAAGATTGGGATCCGATTAATTTGACCGCGAGCAACCGAGACTATCCCGCTCAATAATAACATCGTTTTGTGACTTGGACAACTGCGCCCGACTGAGGAGTCTGATGAAGCCATTAGCAGTGTTTGCTGCCGTGAAAACCGGATTGATATTTTTGGAACGAGGTAAAGGTATTTATGTATCTAGAAGTGACTGTACGTATACCAACATGTTTGAAGCGGCATGAGAACTTCAATTTTGACATGGAATCCGAAAGTCGAGATACCAGCCATGAAGCGTGCCCAACGATGCAGAGCAGGTTTGGAAGTTGCTTCCCGGATTGAATGTGTTTTGTTTTTGTTTGTGACCTCGCCATTGAGAACCAGGAGCTTGGTTTGAGTTCATTCGTGGTTGCACAAGCGCTGGTTAGCTGCGCAGGAGTGATGCATGCCCGCACTCGTTGGATGAGTGTCCCTGGAGTTGTCGCTTAGGCGTCAACGCCTACACGGGTGTCAACCTAATAGACCACTGCATGGATCTAAGGGATGGATGATGGTGTAAAAGAATGAGTTTGTTTTGTTATGAATTGAAGGCTGTAATTACACACGCAGTTGCTGTTGGACATGGTGGTGGTCGGACTCACAGAAGGAGACACCAACAGACCAGACGGATCCAGACAGCAAAGTCCTGCGTCGAGGGATACAGTCTGTTGTATTTATGCGGACGTCGCAATGTCATCAGCAATCAGCAGGCGACTCACGCTCGCAGAACAAAAGTTATGGATGACACTGGACACTAAATGACTACAGAGACGGGTTGAAACATTGCGGACCAATGCCTTATGAATTGCCGTACGTGGTGGAGCTAAAGCTTAGTCTTAGGAAGATCTAAAGCTCTCAATAAGAAACAGCTGAACAAGAACGAGAACCATCTCGACTACAAATCCGCCAAGCATCAAGAAGATGCTTGGGTCTTTTCTGACTAGTTTAAACCCAACATACGTTGTACCACACTTCTCTACTGCAGGTTGTAACAGGGCATACGAAGGTATCAATG